AGGAAAATTATAAAATATAATATAGAACTAAAAATAAATATATACTAATATAGGAAAAAAAATAAATTCTATTACAGCATCATGGAAGCTTAAAAACATTTTGTTAGATTTCATTAGTATGAATAGGTCACATACGGGTGCCATGATATCAGATGCAATGAAAGTGTGTCTTCAAGAAATGGGGATTATCTCAAAACTAGTTGCGATTACGCACGACAATGCATCATCAAACAATAAGTTTCTGCAAGAATTTGCATGTTCTTTATTACAAACTGGCATCTAGTTCGATAGTATACAGCAGTCGATATGATGTTTTGGCCATATTTTGAACCTTGCAGTGCAAAGCATGTTAGATGTTGTGGGAAGTGAGTTAGAAAGGGTTAGCATTCTTTGTTATTAATAGAATTGAGTTGGTGAGGTCGTCTTAGTTTTATATATACTTTTTTTTTTTTTTTATTGTTATTTATTTTTTACTTTTATTTTCTTATATTATTTGTTAGTTACGCTCATTGATTAAAAGTGTTAGAGGATCACCAAAACATCGTGAGAGGTTCAAAAAGACATGTCAAATTCACAATTTAAGTTAATTGAAGCCAATACTTAATGTAAGTATAAGGTGAAATTCCATCTTTGAAATGTGTAACCGAGCTGTAACATTGCAAGAGATATTAGATAGTGTCACTTTAGTTGAAACAGATTTACGGCAGTATGTTTTTAGTAAGGATGAATAGAATAAGATCAAACTTTTAATTGAAGTCTTAAAACCATTTAAAGATAGTTAGTAAATCGTTTTGTATCATAATTTATTAGTTTAATATTAATAAACTTATTATACCAAATATGCATTTTTGTTTAGTAACAACCATCATGTCATCATCTGAATATCTGACACTATCGATGGTCATCCTTTTTTATCACATGTTGCTTGAAACGCTTGATGAGATTCAGCTAAAAAATGATGCACCACAATAGCTTGTACAAGGATGTCAAGCTGCAACTATGAAGCTCTTGGAATATTGTTACAAGACGAATTTGTGGCATATTTCAGCAATAGTATTAGATCCACAGCTTAAGTTCCAATATTTTGAAAAACTCAAATAGTTACTGCAACTTATTAGTAAAATAAAAGACATGTTAGTTTATGATTTATACTGTAAAATATGTAATCGATATAATGTATTAATTCATACTTACTACTTTATAGAATCAAAAATAAATATGAAAATCAATATACACCTATTCCTAGTCAAGATGTAGTAAACTCAATTGTTGAACTATTAACAATGAATATAATATCTTGAATTTACAAATGAACCTGTATTGAATGCCAGAGCGAGCTTGATATGTACTCATATGCACCACATGCAGATCCACATATGAACATTTTAGAATAGTGGTGAATAAATGAAGCTAATTATCCAAACTTTCAAAGTTTGCTAAAGATTGCCTTTCGATATCTGCTACAAGTGTTCCAAGCAAACAAATTTTTAGTATTAGTGGTAATATGATAACTGAAAAGCGTAATAGATTGAGTGAAAAGACAGTACGAATGGCGATATGTTTGAGGTCATGGTGGAGAGAATTAGATGAACTGTATGTATATATCTTAATATTATTGAATAGTGCTAAATTATTGGACAATTATTTTTACTAAGATCATATTAAAGCCATACTTGAGCAGATATAATAAATCACTTGCTAATTTAAATAAATCATCAGAAATTAAACCGAATAATACATTGCATTAAGAAGTTGTGGAAACATTTAATGGGCAGATATAAAACACCACTTGCACATTTAAAAAGTCTTGAAATTAAACCAGATAATACATTTGCATTAATACTTTGTAGGAACATTATTGTTTAATGGGAGATATGATGAATTATTTGCATTAAGAACTTGAAGATACTTATCATATGATGGACAGAAGTAAAATATCACTTGCAGATTCAAATAAATTAAAGCAGCTTGTAATACACATATGCATGACAAGGAAAGTATTTGGAATTTTTGCTGACAAAATAATACTTCGAGATTATGTATAAAAATAATAGCCTAAAGGTTATTTTGTTAGCAAAGATCCATAATTTATTATTTTGTTTTTATAAATAACAGGTCTTATTACTAATATGATTTTATATCTTAGATCTTGCATTGTCAGAAAGAATATTTCAAAGGTAGTATTTAGTATCACATTCATGTTTCTTTATTGGAATCATTATGTTAAAATTTAATATTGGTCTTGCAATAAAAAATTTGATCAACTATAATGAGTATATTAAACACTTGTTTTTACTTAAACTATAAAATTTATGCTTAAAGTTTTTTAAATGTAATTGGTTCAAAAGTCTTTTTTAAAGGTACATTATTAACAATTTGAAAACCAATACATCTTAAATAAAAAGTAAAAAAATATCAAAGCAATTATATAAATAAGTGTATATTTTAAGAAAACGTTAGTACACAATTTTTTTTATCGGATCCAGATCCGGGTTCAGTTCTTTCTTATCCAGATTCAGATCTGAACTTGGATTCAATCCAGTTTTTCAGATTGGATCTGGATCTTTAAAAATATCCATCTGATTCGATCTGTGCAGAACACTAAGTTTAATAGTATGCCCTAACTGCTAGTGTTAGTTTTGGCTATAGTAATACTAAGTTAGCTATAAAAATAGGATATAGAAGATTTTGAAAGGTTTAGTACAAGATCAAAGGTTCCAAAAACTGCTTTAAAGACTTAGTAGCTATAGCATATTTTTACTAACATCAGCCAGAGTCATTAGTAAGCAGAGATAGGTAAGTGGATATGGAAATTAGAATGGTTAAATAGAGAACCTACAAGCAGGTTTTAGGTATGACAGCTAATATAAAACCTTCAAGTAAACTATTTAAATTAAACAATAACTAAAGTTATATAAGTGGCTAGTTGTATACTCTTTTTATGATTGTCTTCTGTAGATGTAATGCAACTATTAGCCAAATATACTATCAATAAAATCCTGAGTCACAAGTACTTGTCTTAATATTTTTTTTTAAAAAAAGTAATTTTATTATTAATATAATGTTTCTTTTACAACTCACTACTAGAAAGAGTTCAAAAAGATAAAAGTTTAGAGTATATAATTGAGTAGCAAGATTAAAGAGATGTGCAATATAACAACATTACAAGATATTATTAAGCAGCAAAAAACAACTATTAAAGATTTTAGAAATAGTTAAAGAGTTTTTTAAAATAAATGATATAAAGATAAATAAATCCAAATCAAAACTAATAATAATGTATACAAAAATCAGAAAAGAAAAAAGAGCAATAATATATCAAAAAAGTAGAATAATAGAAGAACCAAGACATAAAATAGTTTGCTTATTAGAAATATAGTTAAACAATAGAATATGAAAAATATAAGTAAAAAAGATGATGAAAAGAATAATAAGCCAAACTATAAGCCAGATTGCATATATAAACAATATGATAATAATATTTAAACTAAGCTATATATTATAACTAATAAAGATGTTAGATAAAAGTTTAAATAAAATATACCAACCAATAATAAGCTTAGCAAAACAAAAGAGCAATTAGTAAAGAACAATAGAAAACTGCATAATAGAATACAAAGATCTTGGTAGCTATAGAACATTATGACAAGAATTAATTATAAAGCAAGTAAGCAGTCTTTTAGCAAAACTAAACAGACAAGACAGTCTTGAACAACTAACAAAATTAAGAATAATACAAGACTATCAAAAAGCAGATTTAGTAAAAGACATATAGAAGACAAAGAAAATGCTATAAATTAAACATATTTGAAAAATAACTTAGCATGTTTAATAATACTTAGAGCAAGAAAGTTAAAGATAAATATAAGAACAGAAAGTGAACTATAAACAATGTTTGAATATAGTATTAAAATATAAAAGCTTGTAGATGCACATTTGTAAAAGAAAAAAAAATTAGAATAAATGAAGCAGGCCTAATATATTTAAATCAGTTACTTAATATAAGAAAAAAAAAGTTGATTATATAATAGTAACTTAAAAGCTATTAAGACCAATCAAGTAAAAAAAAAAACAAAGCAGTTTAAAGCAATCAAATTAAAGATACTTAGTAATCTAGAAAATAGAAAAATACAAAAATATTTTAAAACAAGTAGACAAAATACTTAGACAATGCAAGTTAAATAGAAACATATATTAAAAGATAGAAAAAGAAAAAAATAAATAATATATAATGTATAAAATCATAAACAGTTAGAAAAAATAGTTAAAAAAAAAAGAAAAAAATATTAATTGAATACTGGCAAATACAAAGCAAAGAAAATAAATTAGTAATCAAGATCAATAAATGCAAAGAATGTATAAAAAAGAAGAACAGATAGAGAATAGTTGCCAACAATAGATAATAGTAAACAAAAATATCAATGCAATTTCAGATGCATTAATAAAAAAAAGTAGCAATCAAATTAAAATAGCAATAGACCAAATTGCAAAAAAGGCAAAAATAGATGAACCAAAAACTAAAGAGTAAAAGCTTAAAGATTTTATAATGATAAAAAAGCTAAAGATAGAGATTATTAGATAACAAAAACTAAAAGAAAATATTAGTTAAGAAATAATAAAAGTTTTAAAAAGAAATCTAATAAAAAACAAGAACAAATATATAATATATACAGATGGGTAGCTAATATAAAAGTTAGTAAAAAATTAGTATCTAAAAAGTAATATGAATATAAGATAGATTTGAACAAATGAAATGCAAAAAATGATTAGAAAAAAAGATAGCATTTGAACTAAAAGAATGGCAAACATTTATAATAGTAGAGTTGGTAGCAATTTGAACAGCAATTTTAACAATACCTAAAGAGAAGCAAATAAAGATATATACAAACAGTAATGCTGCAATAAAAAAGAATACTAAAATTGTATAAACTTTACAAAAATATAACAGTTTAAAAATTAATCTTAACTGCAAGTATTAGTTTTAACTATAGCAAAATACCAGGTCAGCTAAAAATTAAGATAACAAAAGGCTTTGGTAAGTTTAATACAAGGTCAAAAGTTTTTTATATAAGTGAATTGCTTTAAAAACTTAGTAATTATAATATATTTATATTAGTAAAAACTGAAGTAGTTGATAGAATAAATAGGTAGGTAAATGCAAAAACTAGAATATTTAAATAAAGAACTTAAAATTAGGTTCTAAATATAGCAGCTAGTATAAAATCTTTAAACAAACTACTTAAATTAGACAATAACTAAACTTATACAAATAACTAGTTATATATTTGTTTCATAATTGCTTTTTGTAACTGTTATAATATGATTACAAAACTAAAACATATTATTAATAAAAGTCTAAATTATAAATACTTACTTTAATATTAAAAAAAAATATTGCTTAAAAACTAAGTAAAAAAATAGTATAATTTTTAATATTACTTATAAAAATCTTAATTTAGAAGAAAAAACCTAAGACAGATGATCTGTATAAACAAGAACTTTTAGATAAAAGAAGTTCACTAATCTAACTACTAGTTAATTCAGACATAAAGTTATATCATATTGAACTAACTAAATTAGTAGTATAGGAAAACTTATAAAAATATACAAGATATTAGTAAAGTTATAAAAAGAAGTACTAAGGTTGTATGAATTCTATAAAGGTATAGCAGTTTAATAATTAATTTGACTATAAGTGTTAGTTTTGACTATAGAAAATATTAGATTAATTAGAAATTAAAATACAAAAGACTTTGATAAATTTAGTACAAAGTTAAAAGTTTTTTATATAATGAACTGCTTTAAAAACTTAGTAATTATAACATATTTGCACTAGTAAAAACTAAAGCAGTTTGTAAAATAAATAAATAGATGAATACAAAAATCAGAGTGTTTAAATAGAGAATTCATAGTTAAGTTCTAGGTATAACAACTAGTATAGAATCTTTAAATAGATTATTTAAATTAAACAATAACTAAAGTTGTATAAGTGACTAATTATATACTCTTCTTATAATTGTTTTCTGTAATTGTTGTAATACAATTACAAAGCTAAAATATATAATTATTAAAATTCTAAATCATTAATACTTATCTTAATATTAAAAAAAAAATTATTTATTATAAATTAAAAATTAATAAAATAAACAAAAAAGAATTGCTATTTCCACCCTCCATTTTTGCTAATGCCACCCCCCAAAATGCATAAAAGTGCTCTGGAAGAGATATTATTATTAAGTAAACCTTTTTTGGTATTAATTAAAGTTGTTCATTAGGTCTTTTCGGTTCTAATGGTAGTAAAATCATTAAGTTTGGACCAGTGGTTCTTGCAATATTTATATCTAAAGTTTATAATCTTTAATCTACTTTTAAAAAAGAACTACCATTCTGATTTTACTAATTTTACCATCATTAGAACCGGAAAGGTCTAATGAACAACTTTAATTAATACCAAAAAAGAGGTTTACTTAATAATAATATCCCTTTTGGAGCACTTTTATGTATTTTGGAGGGTGGCACTAGCAAAAATAGAGGGTGGAAATAGCAACTCTCTAAACAAAATTGTTAAAAATATTTTTATACAAAAAAATATAAAACTAAATTAACAGTTTTTAGTTTTATTTTTATTTTTTTTATATTAAGATAAGTATTTATAATTTAGGATTTTATTAATAATATGTTTTAGCTTTGTAATTCTATTATAATAGTTACAAAAAGCAACTATAAGAAGAGTATATAATTAATTACTTATATAATTTTTAGTTTTTATTAGTACAAATATGCTATAATTAAGTTTTTAATACACTTTACTTATATAAAGAACTTTTAACTTTGTCTAAACTTACTGAAATCTTTTATTATTCTAATTTTCTAGCTGACTTAATATTTTATTATAATTAAGATCAATACTTATAGTCAGAACTAATTATTAAACTATTATACTTTTGTAAAGTTTATATAATTTTAATACTTTCTTTACAATTTTACTAATATTTTGTATATTTTTGTAAATTCTTTTATACTACTAATTTAGTTAATTCTATATAATATAACTTTATATTTAAATTAATTAGTTAATCAGATTAGTGAACTTCTTATATCTAGAAGTGCTTATTTTTACAGATTATCTGTTTTAAATTTTCTTCTTTAGATTAAGATTTTTATAAATAATACTATTAAAAATTGTATTACTTCTTTACTTAAGATTTCTAAACAAAACTTTTTATTTAGTATATACTTTTCAGATTTATTTAGTTTCTAATATTTATAAAAGTAATTAAAAATAAAAAACATATAAAACAAAACCTAATAATAAAGTAATACAGAAACTAATTATAAATTTTATACAAAATTTAAAAATATATAATAATATAAAAATTGAAAAAATTAATAAAACTTAACTTATTTAAAAAAACATTTAATATATATGCTTTAAATTATACATATGACTAAAAATAATTTTTAAAAAAGATTTATTTTGTTTTTATTAAAACAAATAAAACTTTTATAAAGAAAAACAAATAAAATTTATATATTTATACTTTTTATAATTTCATTTAGTCAAAAAATACTAAAAATTTTTGTCTTTTAAATAAAAGTAAACCAAAACAATTTCAGTTTCAAATTTTAATTTTAGGTTAGACTCTAAAATAGTTTTATTCTTATATATACTACAGATATTAAAAAACAAATATTATTAAAACTTAAAGAATATAAAAATTCTATTATCTTGTTTTAAAAAATTATTAAAAATCTAATAAACAAGTTATTAATTCATACTTCTTATTGAGATTTAAAATAAATTCAAGATCATTTATATATATAACTAGTATATAAAATTAAAAAAATAAACACAACCTCAAACTAGTACAAAATAAAATTTTTGTAATAATAAAATAAATAAATATTAATAAAGTATAAAAAAACTTTTTTTAAAAAATAAAGTAAAGTATATATAATTTACTTATTACTTAAATTGTTTAAGTTTTTTCAATATCTTCATAATGCATCAACCCTTTACAGATGCATTTTAACAAAACTCTCATATTTGTGTAACTAATAAATTAGTTTTTATGTTATAAATTTGTAAGCTTAAAAAGAATCATGTGAAAATATGTAAAATAATTACTGATCTGTAAAGGTGTATAATTTTATAAGCTAGGCTGTTATATTATTAGTACCATTGGTTCACATAAACTCCAGCAATAATATTGTCTTAAGATATGTTGCATATTTTAACTAAGGGTTCGAATAGGATTTTATATGTAACGAATCGGGCACCTGATATACATTAATACGTCACTATATTGTCACTGCTACTGTATATGTTATTTGATATTCTAATGTCTGCAGCTTTACTTATAACCAATTGCAAAAAAAAAGTATGACCATGTTTATAATAAAACTATTCTACGTATGTTAAATATAGATATTATTATCACATATTGATATTTCCTTTAAAATTTTTCTTACAAAATTAAAACAAGACCCTGCTATAAGAAGTGACTCGAATTAAGATATTTCAAAAAGTAATTTTTTACAACTCTAAAATCTCGAAATCAGGTGTAACATGAAATAAGGTCAAGAAACTAAAACAATCCAACCATGTATGTACATGCTACAAGCAGGTTTAAGTTTTACATGATTTGCAAACTAAATACGTATCCGCCGTGTACATACCGATACACTATACAATTGGAAATTTTCTTTTATATCTATATAAAAATAATTTAATTTACTTTAGCTATTTCTCAAAAGTGATTAAAGTAATCACCGCTCGATACACTAAGTAAAAATGTTCAGCATGCTCGAAAATCTTTCCTAAATCCTAACTTTAAAATCAATTCTGGCTTTAATACTAATTTCACAATTTTACATGTAATGTAGATTTTTATTGAATCTTATAAAAACTTTAAAAACCTATAAAACTTTATGCATATATTATTTTAAATACTAGCTGATTCATTGGCACAGAATTTCCTAGGTAAAAATATTTACGTTTTGAAAAAAACTAACTTTAACTCTAAATATTACCTTAACATGAAAAATTTATGTTAAAAATTATATATATAAAAATTATAAAAATTAAAAAAAATATGATAGAAGCAAAAACCACCATAGATGCATTTTATAATAAATAAATTTTCAATATGATTTTCTTACTGCTATGCTATGTTATTGCCACATTATGAATAAGTAGTACACCTAATAGAGTGGTAAATAGAGTCTTATGCTAGACTTAAATTTAGGTAGGGTTAGCTATTATGCTTTTTGTAGGTGCCAAGTGAACTGCTTCTAAGTCCTTTATTTCTTTTTTTAATTCAGCAACTCTTTTCTGTTTTTCAAGTATTCTAATTTCATTCTCTAAATCTGCTTCTTCTTCAATAATAACTTCATGAGCTTGGTTATCATTATTATCATCTGTCACTCCCTTTTGAATTTGTGCTTTTCGTTTCTTAATCACCACAACCAAACCATAAATAACCATGATTAAAATACAAAGTATAACTAAAGTTATAGCAGGTGCATATGCTTGGAAAAAGCAATCGGATGAATAATGAGAATAATAATAGTAATAATAATAGGCATTATAAGAACAATCGTTTGCAAGTGGAGTAGAAATCCCATAAGATAAGACAAAAAGTAGCAAAATAACTAGAATAGTCCAATAACATATTACTTTTTTGCTACATTTACACATAATTATTATTTGACTTGGTTTATTCTCTGTGACTTTTATCGTTTATATTTTCTGTGTAAATTTATATTTTTTAAAATTTCCTTTGAAATTTAAGACCAGAAATTTGATTAGGAAGTTTGTTAGCGATAAGGTTATTATTATAATTATTTTTAGAGTCGTACGTAATGTATACTTTCATTATAATAATCTTTGTCACGGATGATGAAATTGGTCCTATTTCGATATGAATTTGGAGATACAAACCAAAAAAGGAAATTCAACGTAAAAATAAACCAAGTTCGTGAAATTAAAATTTAGGGTTAGGACGTTAAAGTTAAAGGCGATAAAAATAAATAATTATTTTTTATATGTGAAATTTCATTCCCGCCATTTAATTAGCGCTCCAAGACAGGTTTAAACACTCATTTTGTATTTTCTCTTTTTTCGTTTTTTTTCCTCTTTTTCTTCACTGATCCGGGATAAACATTTTTTAGACTTGTATCACTCGCACAAATAAGTGCACACTGTGTTTTTTACTGCGTTCAAATTGGGATAAATTCGGAGTTTAGCTTGTAGTTCCGTAAATGGATTCAAAAAAGTTTTTACGCACAATGAAAATGTTTCCTAAAACAATATACAACTTCAGACAGCAAAAAGCGCCAAATTTGGGATTATATAATCAAATATGATTGGCTAAGCTTTGTGTAATTAGTTCTGATTGGTGAAAATTATATACGTATAACCTTTTTTTTTACATAGAAATACCCAATGTTTTAATTACATACAAACTTTAGGCTTTAATAATTTTTGATTTTATGAGAAAATAAAAAAAATCTATTCTAACAGTATTGTAACTTAGACTAAAAGCAACAAATCCTTAAGACAGATTTTTTAAGTGATTTGTTTTTAAGTTATATGCATTTTATATTTTATATTAAAATTTCCTACGTAATAAATATTTAAGCTCGTACATCTCACAAATTGTATCATGTGATCTCATATCTCTCATATCTCGCGCGAAGCAAATTTAAGAAAATCTTAGCGGTTAGTGACTTGCTAAATATATATATATATATATAATTAAAATATCACCAAAAATATATCATCCGCTAAACTCCAAATTTAGTCATGGATGAGATCATTTCGCACTTTGCGAGAAGTCATGATTTGATTTGTGTAGAATGTATGTTAGTGCAAGGTAAACCTTCCTAGGGGTTACTGTACGATTCCCCGAAAGTTATTTAATCGACATCACAAGAGTGGCAGCTAATCAAATGCTAACCCTAATCCTATGTGATGTCGGGTAAGTGACCTGTCGGGTAAATAGCTTTTGGGGAATTGAGCAACAACCATCCCCGAATGAGGGTGCGTCATTATAATAAATTTCTATGTCAAAGGTGGGGAGGATGGGTTAGACGCATTATCAATCAAGATCAGGGGCCCAAAAAACTTTTTCGGGGTTTATTAATATCTAATTCGGTAACCCAAATTTAAAATTGAGCCAAATTTGGCTTAAATTCGCGGCTATTTATATATGCCCAACGACTAAGATAATCAGACATTATATCTACTAGTTATAATATATCTACTCTATCTAATAACTAATATAACCAGTACAGTCAAATCTGTCTAAATGAATACTGTATAAATGAATATCCTGTATAAATAAATACAAAATTTCAGAACCAAGTTTTTTACTAAGGCTAATTGCATAAACCGCTTAGCTTAATTTTATTAGTAAAAGTTTCATAAAAGTTATGCTATCTGAATATTTCTGTATAATTGCTATACAAAATTTTATAATTGATTGGTTAATTTTAAAATATCAAAATTTATTAATATTTTTATATAATTTGATTTTTTGTAAATGAATATCTTGTCTAAATGAATACAAAATTGGTCACCGGCCATATCCATTTAGACAGGTTTGACTGTACATATAATAGAGATAATAAATATAATAAAAATGAAATATATATGATATTTGCGAGAAATACTAGTTTTCTTGGCATTTATTATCTAAAAGTCGTGACAGTTTATAACATTGGGTCTAACAGTACGTATAAAACGGTTTTATATCGTTATTGATTCAATAGTTCATGTTCGGAAATTTCTCGGAAGGTGATTTTCAAGGCGAAGACCCCATATATATTTTTTATAGGTGTGCCACTTAAATTCGCGGTATATATATTTTATATACTGTATTACTAAAGTTTTTTTAAGGGTTGATTTCGAATCTACAGATGTTTCATATCCATCTACAACGCATACATCGAAATGTAAAATTAAAAATAAATATAAAATCGGATAGAAAATAAGATGAATAAAATCAGATATATAAAAATAAATATGTGCTATAGAATTCTACCCTGTTTGTTAAAAAATACTTATGAATACATTATTTAGAAACCCGGTTAGTTAATTGGTACAGGATAACCTAAGTAAAAATGTTATAGCCTTTCCCAAACCGTAACACCAACCCTGAATACTAATCATATAATGAAAAAATTTGTGTTAAAAATTATATATATAAATAGGTGCCAGACCACCATAGGTCCATCTTATAATAAATATTGCTACATTATGAATAATGGAGTGAGTGATAAATTGAAAGAGTAGGACTCTGAATAATTTTAATAGAGGTTATATTGGCTCTAATACGTATAAAATTTTTATCCAAAATCTGCAACTCTAATTGGCTGAACCTTATTTTACCCAATCAGAATTGCAAAAAAGTGGATAATGCAACAATATAACCTCTACTTGCATTGCTCGGGGGTCATAGACTAGACTTAAATTTAGGTAAAGTTAGCTATTATACTTTTTAGAGATGCTAAGTGAACTGCTTTCAAATCCTTTATCTGTTTTTTTTTTTAATTCGGCAATTTTTTTTTGCTTTTCAAGCAATCTAATCTCATTATCTAAATCTGCTTCTTCTTCAATGATAATATCGTGTGCTTGAATATGAATATCAGTGTTTCTTCCCTTTGAATTTGTGCAACCAATATATTTAATATAACAATAAATATAATTATAATAATTATAATAATATAATAGGAATCAAAGGAAAGAAAGCATTATAATTAGCACAAAAGCTTAAAAATAGATCCAAAAGCCCAACAAGTAGGATCAGTAGTAGCAAAACAACTCCCATGGTCCTACTATATTTTTATTTTCACTATATTTAAACATGATTATTATTTGATGTAGCTTATTCTCTGTGACTTTTTTCATTCAATTGATAATTTTATTGTTATTTTATGTTTGTTATTTTTCTGCGTACATTTATATTTTATCTATCCGACTTCTCCAATGTGAACACAGAACGATTTCTGTGTAAATTATTCGACCACCTCCTAATACAAATTCGAATAGGACATGTCGGATAACTTAGTTGTCAGTCGAGTCTTAATACTGATAACTGATTTTTTCATGGTAAATATCCTGCCGAATAATCAGTTATTATCCACAACACAGCAAATAACTAGTACTTAAGTTCCTTTTAAAATTTATCACCAGAAATTTGGTTAAAACATTCTGTCAGCGTTAAGATTATTATTATTACGCATTATTTTAGAGTCGTGGGTCATATGATGCAGATATTTCATCTTTGAGGTACATCTCTAGTTCTCTAGTCTATACCAGATTGATTTCCGAAACGATATATAGTCTAGGGCTTATTAATTTTTCCAATAGCTCCTATTGGACGCTTAGAACTGCACATTTTGATTGGATGAAAGTGATTACAAATTTTGATCTGACATCGTGACCGAAATACGATAAAAAAAAACATTAAGCTATAAAACATATTGTTAATAGTGATATTAAGGCAAAATAAAAATCGATATCACCGGAATCTTGCAAGGATTCTTTTTGTTAAGACATGAAAGGTGGTTTCCTAAGAAAAATTACAAGTTACCGTCATTTTTAGGTTACGCCGGATCTTACAATTTAATTGGTAGTGTCCAATCAGTCAAAATAAATAATTTTATTATTGATTAATTATATCGTGTGAAGGATTAATATGTAACATTGACGGTTTCTCCTGTTGTGATAATGTTTTCATACTCCCAATAAAAAGTAAGGGTGAAATTAGGCTCCCCATAGAGGTGTACGAAATTGGTATACGAACCTGTAATAATGTGCAGTGCAGTATCATCCTCTATTTAGTAATTGTCCGAAGAACTCAATTCTAGGCAAATTGAAAGCACGTCTATGCTCATAGGCAGAGGTTCGTCTGATCGCTAATAAATTCAATTTTACGTTATTTATACAGTTTAGAGTACTTTTTTTTTAAAAAAAGAAACCTAATCATAATGAAAAAAAAAAGCTGTATAGTAGAGCTGTAGGACTCCATAGTCAAAAATAAGATCTAATTCTCGTCCGTTTAAAAAAATTAGCTTAGTAATAGGTTGATTTTATCGGTTTTGAGAAGTTATTACTATAGCAACTTTTTTAAACGGGCGAGAATTGGATCTTATTTTTGGCTACAGCTCTAATGAAACCTCCTATACAATTTTTTTTATTTCATTATGTTTAGTTTTCGTCTTTAAAAAAGTACTCTAAACTGTATAAATAATGTAAATTAATTTGAATTTATTAGCCAATCAAACAAACCCCTGCCTATATTTTTCACTATCAGATTCAGATTTCCTAGTCTTTACGAAAATTCGGACAATATGCAGTTTTTAATGTGATCACATAATCATTATCGAAATTTATTAATGGTTAATAAAATTAGTAACTAATCATTAATTTTTTTATTTTTAAATAAGAACTCAAAAGTCATATTACTAGATGCAAATAAATTTGAAAAATGCTGCAAAATAAGCACTAACAATTTCTTATAGGTTTAATTAATTTATTAATTAGATAATTTATAAGAATTCTCTTTGATTGCTTTGATTGGAAGGGTTCAAAGGGCATTCATTTTTAGCTATAACTCAGGAGGAACTAACATCTATATACATATGTGTGAGTCACTGAAGACACATATAATTTTCTTCAATGACATTGTCCTCCCATTATACCCGTCGCTAGGTTAACCCGTCAAATTTACCACACGAACAGGTAATACGTACTAATTAATAAATGCCAATCTAGTAATTAATCTGGAGTTATGCATTTCGATCCAAAATGGTTGTTTTTTTGATGCACCTACAAAAAAATTATGAATGTCATATCAGAAACGCAATTTTTGTCTGTCTGCACGCGTATTCAAATTTATAACAAATACACACAATGTGTTCATCATTTAGTGCTGAATTCATAATGCTACACATTTCTAGTTAATCATAATTTCGATAACCATACCGAGAAAATCATCAGAAATAACACGTTATTTTGGGACGCACACGGTAGAATTATAAAATCAATCAAACGAACTTAACAACCATACCTACTTATATCTATCATTTTATTTTTGGTTTGTTCATTTGGTAAGGTATGCTTTTAGAGTTGTGTACGCTTGATAATGGACTTGTTCATCGATGAATGTGTGATTGCTGGTTCGTGTCAAGAATGAATATATGTTATTAGTCGACCATTTGAGCCATTGGTTTGTAGTTTAACAACAGTAAACTTTTTTTAATACAATAAACTTTATGAAATTTAATGTTTATTATGAAGATTTTTATTAATCATAGTGATATTAATTAAGCATGAAAAATAAAATAACATTCATTAAATTCCTTTAATGCATTTGTTAAAATAATAATGCACTTTTTTTTCTTTTAATAGCAAATAGTAAAAAACATACAAAAATTCAAATTATAATAATACGCAATGATTTGAACCGGTTGGCTATAATCGGTTAACCGACCCGAACTGAATAAATTTTGGGTAACCGATTGAGTAAATTCTTAATCAGTTGACCCGGACAAACGGTTGAGAATCGGTAATCGGGTGGAAGGATCGATATAGTATGTAAATGACATCAGGATTGAACAAAGATTCCGAAAAGAAAAATAAATGAACATAAAAGACGAGCAAGACTTTCCGAAGGTAAGATTTTACCCGATATAGTGGTCGGCTAAAGCGGAGCGAGTTGTGGAGTTACCTTTTTGATGCAGTTAGTGTTAGTAGGTTATATAGAATATCAAGAATGTAATTGATGCAATGTGTAGATCATATGGGGGGTGTCAATAGAAACCAAGCAAATTGTTTCTAAGTAACTTTTTTTTAAAGTTTAAAGTAAAATATCTCAACAATTATTAAATCAAACTTGATAAAAATTTTTTTATTTTAATTTTATATAGTTATATAATTAAAAGAAAAAAAAA